TGTCAGGCGCGAGTCGTGGTCCGCAAGGCGGCAAGACGTGCTAGCGACGAGATAGTATAAGTATTGTACGATACAAGCCGAACGTAAGCATACCTAGCGACGAGATGGTCAAGAATGAAGAGTCGCGTAGGTATGCGAGACGCGGAAAAGGGAAAACGGTGGTCACGTGTACAGTACGTAGGTAGCTATGAGTCAGGATGCGAACAACGGCATGACACTACCCCCTCCTCAAACAAAAGACCCCTCCCAAAAACGGAGATCAAACATAGAATCCTCGAACAAGGCCTCATCGACTAAACCTCTTCCTCCTCCTCCCCGGTTTCCGCACCAATCCCTTCTCCTTCTTCTCCCGATACTCCTCCAGCAGCTCCTGAGCATTCTCCAGCTCGTATTCCTCCAGCCATTCATCATGCGATGAGTCGAAACCCCTATACCGCACCCGATACTGCCTCTTCCCACTCTGGTCCACTCGATCCCAGATGATCTGCTGCAACTCGTACTCCTCGTGTCCATCCACTTCAATTGGTGTCGGTGCTTTGGGTACCCGACCGAGGATTGAGTCCTCACGGAACGGGACGAGGTGCGAAACGTGAAAGACGGGGTGAACACGCCACGATTTTGGCAGTGCTAGCCGGAAAACAAGGTCGGAGAGCTTCTCCTCAATAACGAACGGCCCGTAGCGCTTGACGTCTAGCTTCGGCGAAGGGCGCGTCGAGGAGTGGATGTGCGGGTGTTCCAGCCACACCCTATCCCCCACCGTATATGCCGGAGCCTGGTCCACCCAACGATCGTGGTAGCGCTTCATGGTTTCGGCGGCGAGCTCGAGGGTAGCCTGCAACTCCTCCTGAACGTGATGTATCAGGTCGATACGCTCGTCGGCAGCCGGCACCGCATGCGCCTGTACGAGATTCGTCGAGAACTGCGGGTTGAACCCGAGCTCCGCGTAGAACGGCGAAACACCCGTGGACGAGTGTACACGGCTGTTGTAAGCGAATTCGGCGAGAGGAAGCCACGACGCCCAGTCGTCCTGGTAGTAGTTGACGAACATACGCAGGTACGTCTCGAGATCCTGATTTACGTGTTCCGTCTGACCGTCAGATTGTGGGTGGTACGACGTCGAACGCGCGGACTTGATACCAAGCCTCTGGAGCAAGCGCTGCATGAAGCGCGACACGAACTGCGTGCCGCGGTCGGATACCAGCTTGTACGGGGTTCCGCGTTCGCACCAAATACGCTCGAAAAAGATGTCGGCCACCTCGGGCGCGGTGATGGTCTCATTCACCGGGAAAAAACGCGCCCGCTTCAAGAGCTTGTCCACGACGACAAGGATGGAGTCCGTCCCGTTCGAGACCGGCAGTTTGACGATAAAGTCGGCCGAGATGTGCTGCCAGGGGCCCGTGGGGATTTCGAGAGGTTGCAGCGGGCCCGTCGGCTTGCGCGCGCGAGGCTTGCTCTGCTGGCAAGTCGGGCAGCCCGAGACGTATCGCTCGACGTACGTCGACATCCCGGGCCAATAATATGTGCGCGCGACGAGCGCGAGCGTCTTTTTCTCGCCCGGGTGACCGGCCGGCGCCGAATCGTGACAAAGACGGAGGATATCGTGACGGATTTCCTCTTCGTCTGGAACCACGATGAGGCCGCGCGTGCGGACTACCCCGTCCTCGAGCACGTAGTCGGCCAGTCGCTTCTTCAGCAGGGGTGCTGCACCCGGCTTCTCCTTGGCGAAAATAAGCTCGAGGGTCGGGTCGCGCGGGGTGGCCTCGCGAATGGCCTCGAGGATCAGGTCATCGCCGGGGATGAGCTGGTCCTCGTCCTCCATGTCGGTCGCCGCCGCCTCTGCAGTAAGAGCTGCCACCCGGGCCGAAATTTCGGCTTCAACAACACCAAGGCGACCTTCGGGCAAGAGTACACATGCACGCCGGGGTTCAGCGAAGTTCTCGTAAAGCGAAACAGGATAAAACTCGCCTCGAGGGGGGTCGTGAACTACCCCCCCGTGCGACTGCGCGCGTTTGCCGACACGATCCGGGCCAAGGAGGGTCTGCGCGGTGTTGTCGCGACCGTGCTCGGCATGGTCTGCCCGTCGCGACATACCATCCGCACCCATGTTTAGGCGACCCGGTCGGTGCTCGATTAGGAACCAAAAGCGGTTGAGGTACAGGCTCCAGCGAGCTTGTCGCCGAGTCAAATCGCGAGCCGTCATAAAGTACTCCAGGTTCTTGTGGTCGGAGTAGATGGTGACACGATGCGGCGAGCCCTCCAAGTACGGCCGCCACTCCTCGAGTGCACGAACAATAGCCAGAAGTTCCTTGTCGTATATGTCGTAATTGCGCTCCGCAGGGGCCATGGCCTTTGAGAAGAACGCGACGGGGCGAAGGTCACCCTGAGCATCGTACTGGGAGAGGACAGCGCCCACTGCAAAGTCTGAGGCATCCGTCTCCACCACAAAAGGAGCATGGGTGTCCGGCATCATGAGGAGTGGGGCAGACACGAAACGATGCTTGATCTCGCGGAATGCCCGCTCTTCCTCGATGCCCCAGCGCCAAGCGACATCCTTCTTCCGCAGCGCGTCGAGTGGTCGAGTTAGTGCCGAATAGCCCTCGATGAACCGGCGGTAAAAATTACAGAACCCCAAGAACTGGTTGACGTGTGAAAGGTTCTTCGGTGTCGGCCAGTCGGTTATACCCTGCACCTTGACCGGGTCCATACTGACATTCCCTGGAGAGATCAGCAATCCCAAGTACTCCACCTCCGTAGCATTGAACCGACACTTCTCGGGCTTGAGGTACAAGTCCGCCTCTCGCAACCGCCGCAGAACTTCCCGCACGTGCTCCTCGTGTTTGGATGGATCCTCCGAAAAGATGATGATGTCATCGAGGTACAACACCACTGTAACATCGACGAGGTCATGGAAGATCGAATTGACAAGTCGTTGGAAGACTGCGGGGGCGTTGCAGAGCCCGAACTGCATCACGAGGAACTCGAACTGCCCATAACGAGTGCGAAACGAAGTTTTCCACTCGTCACCCTCGCGCACGCGAACATTGTAGTACCCCCATCGCATATCCAGTGTCGTAAACACCTTCGCTGATTTTAGGCGGTCCAACAGCTCCTGCGTGAGCGGGATCGGGTATGAGTCCTTGATAGTGACCTTGTTCAATGCACGGTAGTCGACCACCAACCGAAGGGAGCCGTCCTTCTTCTTGACGAAGAAGACTGGTGCACCGCACGGCGCGCTTGAGGAGCGGATGTACCCCTTGCGCAGGCTGTCGTCGATGAACTCCTTCAAGGCCGACAGCTCCTCCACCGACATCTGATACAGGCGCCCGGACGGGATGGAAGCACCCTCCTCCAACTCGATAGCAATGTCATGCCCTTCACGGTGTGGAGGGAGGCGCTCCGAACGAGCCTTGTCGAAGACGTCGAGGTAGTCGTGATAAGCCGATGGGACCATCTCCTCGAGCGACTTGACCGGTTCAGCAGCCTTGCGAGATTTCGACTCTGCCTCAGCGAGCTCCTGCGAGAACGAGCGGGCCGCCGCGGCACGACGACGGTCAAAGACAGCCGCCCCGGCACGCAAGTCCAAGGGTTCTGGGCAGACATGCATGGTAACGTCGGAATCAGTTCGTTCCACCGCATTACATGGACGTGGGTACTCGCCTCGAGGGGGATCAATAGACCCCCCTGAAGCGCTTGTGCGCTGCCCCTCGGGTACCACTCCCACTGCCCGTGCCGCCGCTGCCCGACGGATAACCTTCTCTAACACCTTCGACGCCTCCCGATACGCCTCCAACCTCGCCTCCTTCTCCCTCACTCTCCGAAATGTCTTCAACGACCTAGAACGACTGCCCCGCTCCGGGGGAGGCGCGCGCGCCGCCGCCGGGGTCCGGGTATTCGTCTTCTTGCCAAAGGAAGAACGATACCCCGAGGACGGTTTATGCGAGGTCGTCGGGCACGACGGTGCCGCAGGTTTTGGTGCCCGTGGTAGGCAGTGGGCAGCACAGTAAGGCGACGTGAATGTGATAGAAGAGCGTGCCCAGTCAATATGCGGATTGTGCTGCCGCAACCACGAGATACCGAGGATGATGTTGTCGTCGCCAATGTCGGCGACATCGCAGGTGATACGCTCCGAGTGCTCGCCAATAGACATCTGAAGCGAGACCTCGTGCGTGACCAGACCCGACTTGATGGGTGAATTGTCGATGGTACGCAAACGAAGAGGGCTCTTCTTGCGAGTGAGCGTGAGCTTCTGCTCGAGCGCAAAGCGTGAATTAATAAATGGCGAGCTCGCGCCGGAGTCGAGCATTGCTCGAGTGTCGACAACACGAGCGGAGAGGGTGACTGCTGGGCCGTGTACTTTCAAGGAGACTGGAATTTCGAATTGAGACCAAGGAACCCGCGGCTGTCGTGCTAGCACCGTCGGGCTCGCAGCACTCGAGACAGGATATGGATCGTAAGGTCCAGCAAATCGAATATGTTCAGTTTCGGAAAGTACATCGAAGCGGTTAGTCGAACAGGGCGCAGTCCCGCCTGTCGACTCTATTAAAAACCCGCCTGACCGTCCGTCGAGGGCGGCGATGAGCCCTCCTCCTCCTCCGTGCCCACGATTGCACCGTGCGAAGAGACGATCGCAGCAGCGACGCGCTTGTTGACCTGGCAGCGATTCGCGTAGTGGCCCCAACCGTGGCACTTGTGGCACTGCACGGTGGCGAGTCGCTGTGCCGCGTCGATATCCATGGCATTGTTGTCCTTAGCCGGAGGCAACGACGACGACGAGGGCAGCGACGGGGTGGGCGCGACCGGTTGGGCAGGGCGAGTAGCCGCACGAGGTACCGGGGGAGACGGCGTGGCCGCACGCGAGGCTGTCGCCGCGACCAACGGGCGAGCGGGCTGCAAGTACGAAGACTGCACCGCCGCGAAATTCGCCGGCCTAGTACCCACGACGGGTGCCGCGGCAGCCGCGCCGGCAGCCGCGTTGCGAATACGCACCAAGTCCGGCTCGAGCGAGCGGAGTTTCGCGAGCAGGTCGCTGAACGACGCCGGGCGGAAACCAACGAGATGCGCGAGGGTTTCGGCCGTGAGCGCGTTCGTTACCGCCGCAATCATCATGCTCGAGTCGAGCTCGTTCTGGTCGAAGACCTGCGTGAGCTCCTCCACATACGCCACGAACTGCGGCAGCGTATAGCCCTCCTGCGATAGCAGGCTCAGGCGCGTGGCGGCCTCGTTCTTCGGGAGAGCCGTTCCGAACTGCGTAAGGAAGGCCGCGCGGAACTGCGTCCAATCGCGGCTCTCGGGACCCGCCGCCGAAACGAGCCGAATGCCCCAGGCAGCCGCACCGGCATCCAACCGGCCCACCGCCCATACGATTTTGCCAGCGTCGTCCGGGAACGCGTGGTACTTCCCGATGAGGTCGATACGGTCGACGAAGGTGCGAGCTGTCGCAGTATCAGCACCATCGTAGAGCGGGGGAGGTTCCATGCGAGGGGCCTGGATCGCGGCACCACCGGGCCGGGCCGCTGCTGTTGCTGCTGTAGCCGCCGCCTGCGCGCGCGCGAGGGCGAGGTCAACGCGAGCGGTGACCTCGGCGTGACGGGCCTCAGCGACGTTGCACTGCGCGACGATGCCCGTGTTTGAGTTCTCGAGAGCCTGGGTCCGGCTGTGCAAATCCTGCCGCTCGACCTCCGCGTGCGCGACCATCTCCTCGAGCTGCGCAACGCGTGCAAGGATCGGCGCGAGGAAAGGCGAGATCGCAGCCTCGATATCGTTGGGTGCCGCCTCGTCGGGGGCTTGCTGCTGAATATGGACGTCGGACATTGTAGGCTGGGAAGCGAAGCTCGTCGAGATCTGATGAAAATTGCCTGGAATGGAAGGCGGCGCTCTTTTTATATTCTTGACCAAATGTCAGGCGCGAGTCGTGGTCCGCAAGGCGGCAAGACGTGCTAGCGACGAGATA